TCACGAAGAGTATAGTTTTTACTTTGCACGCCTTTGAAGCCTTTCTCGGTGCGTTTTCATCTCCATCGTATCGCCACTGTTACTTGGCAGCTGTAGCCTATCGAATCGTTAAAAAGCGATGTATTTATATATATATATATATATATATATATATATATATATATATATATGGAGCGATTTGTCGAAAATACGTCATGACGCCCATCACAACATTATTGCTTAAGCCATCGGCGTAGCTCTCAATTCAGTTCAGCCGAGTTATTCCGATTCATCTTATCTCTTAGATAGCGAAGTGGGTCAAATACCATGAAAAATCCATTTCTGGCTGTATTTCAGGGGTAGTTCAGCCATTTAGCCCTGATCTTCTACCCCCCCCCCCCGCACACATACACACTCATGTTGCGAAATTACACCTCCCATTTGAGCGTAGCGTACTTTGTTTTTTTCTTCCAGCTTTGAGTGCGTTTTTCAATGGCGGTCATCCAAGCAGAATAATCCCACATCTGAACGCCTGATTGCCGTCAGCGAGACGCCTCTTATGGTGCGCGACGAGCGAGTCGATGGTAGACGTGATCGATCACCATATGGATGATACTTGAGCATAAGCAAATACAGACGTTGTTTTTTAAAGTGCCTTCAGATAGGACACATCGATGCGTTGGATATTACCCTTTCATGAGCTTAGCACGCCGAGGTGCATTTGGTGTCCGCGCAGATATGGCCAAATGGTACAGTTAGAATATTGGTCGGTGTTCGGCCTCCTAAAGCATGGGATTATGGATCGACAAGGCGGATGCACTTGGAAGAGCTTACATTTATGATGTATCGGGAACACAAGCCAAGTTTTAGATGGATACTGGTCAAAATAGCATGGGCAATGCGCCGAAGTGGTTGGTTTCAATTTAAGAATTCAGGACGGTAGGTCGTTTATGAAGATGCAGAGAAGGTAGCTGGGCACACCAGGGACCGTTCAGGGACAATGTGAAATGATGGAAGGGGTGGTCAACCACCTCTCGCCACCCGCCGCAGTCTAGAGACGCCCAGGTCAACATTTTCAAAAGCTCTTCTATGGTCCGCTGAGACGGCAGCGATGACATGCCCTTCGTCGATCCGACGCGGCATCCGCTCCACCGCGTCGAGCACTGCATCCTCCGTTGAATGGCACAGCCTAGAAGCCCATTGTGAGCGGCTAAGGGACCGTGGTACACGAAACGACCTGATGATTGCCCGCAAACAACCCTTCCGCATATTTTCGACAGCACAGATAAAACCGATATCGGCCTAAAATTGCTTCCAGTGTCACAAAAACCCGAGCCCTGCACGGAAAGAAATGAATCTCCCTCTCCCTATCCCTTCCTAGGGTAGGGTATCATCTATACCATCTAAGGTAGGGTAGGGTAGGGTAGGGTAGGGTAGGGTAGGGTAGGGTAGGGTAGGGTAGGGTAGGGTAGGGTAGGGTAGGGTAGGGTAGGGTAGGGTAGGGTAGGGTAGGGTAGGGTAGGGTAGGGTAGGGTAGGGTAGGGTAGGATAGGATAGGATACGATAGGATGCGATAGGATAGGATAGGATAGGATAAGTCAGGATAGCATAGGATAGCGTAGGATAGGATAGAACAGGATAGGTCCCATCCCATCCCATCCCATCCCATCCCATCCCATCCCATCCCATCCCATCCCATCCCATCCCATCCCATTCCATTCCATCCCATCCCATCCCATCCCATCCCATCCCATCCATTCATTACATATATTGTCCTCTATCAAGAAGAGAGTGCAAGCTACGGCAGTGGTATTCCCTAAATGAAGCAAGTGAGGCACTAGGCACTCTGAGACTGCCACAACGTCCCGAGATCCAATCCATCGGCTTTATGTGACGGCCAGTTACTTGAGAAAAGAGACTAAAGTTCGGGTAAGGTCACAAGATGTAAGACCAGCATCGCTGTGGTTATGCACGGTGGTCTCGGCGACGATGAAAATGACCCATTTAGAAGCTCAAAGATTTTTAAACTTAATCTTGCTTCAACGGTTCAAAGAACCCATTCAGCAATTCAACGGTCATCCCTCTGGATTTCGGATCACCGCATTCCACGGATCACTTCTTTTAAAGGATCATCCAAAGCTCCTGAGGACGCATTCAAGAACACTGTCTTGCGGCCAGGAGAGGTCACGTATAATCCACGACCACAGATGCCCACGATACCCGCGACCACAGATAAGTTCGGACCGATGAAGCGGCACTCTCCCCGACTCCACCGCAAACGTGACCCACATCGTGCTCCAACGGGTCACAACATCCGTTACCAAGCCCGGTAGCCACTCACAGAGGATACGCACACGTCTACACCGGGGACGCCCGAGAGAGGACGATTCCCGGCCACTCCCTGGCTATGCCTGCTGGCGGTATTTACAGCTAGACAAGTCCCATGCGCGCTTACAACAGAGCAGAAATGCAAGCCCAAATAGCAGAAGACTAAAACGGCCAGCAGCTGGCACGTGACCACCCCGATATGATCCCAGCCGCCACGCGGCGTTCCGCTAACTTGTATGAGGCCGTTGAAGCGGAGGAGGCTGTCTGCTTTGCTCTAGGCTAACTTTATTCAAACTTTCGCAGACGACCTTGGCAGATTGGGATGCTTTCATCACCGGATACACAAGCTACTGCAATGCTGGAACACCATGTTTTCCTCATCAAAGGCATGACAACTAAAGATGTGGTTCAGTCGGGTCAGTTCTGGGCTGCGGGCTGACGGGTGATGAGGGTGGCTCTGGGCTGGCGGGCTGACAAGTGATGAGGGTGGCCGAGGACTTCGTCTGCATGATGGCTTTTGACTTCTGCTGTTGGGCAAAGAATAGTCACCACCGCTAACACCAGGTCTGGTACCCCCTCCCCCCCCCCCCGCTCCAAACCGCATCCGCACAAAATATTTGGAACGCATAGTATTTCATTACAGCGATATTGTAAGATTATTCGCGACAGGTCGCCGCAATAACCGATTTATATGGATTTTCCTCATACTATCAGGCGGCTACCCGACATCGGCTCAGAAAGCTCAAGGGTGCAGTGCATCCATGTTGGAGCGCCGATCACTTGCTGACTATACACATCAGCAAGCGGCAAAGGGCTTGATGATGTCACTTAATTCCTCATTACACGCCAACTATGAACCTCGATACACACGTGCCGCATCTGCCGCCTTAAACCTGCTCGGGCCGGACTGTCTGCGGCCAGTTTCGACGCCGCTGTCCGCAAAGCCTGGCAAAGCACGGCCGAGCGTTCGCGGCCCGTCCCGCACGAAGCGCAGCCACGCGGGCCGGGCGGCGGCTCCCCGGTCCCGAGACGGCGGTTAGCGTACGCCATCAGCCGGCGGCGGGGGCTGCTGCTACCGGGCGCCACGAGACCCGCGAGCGTGCTCGACGCGCGCCGGCGGCGGAGTCGGCGCACGGTTCGGGACCTCTGGCCTGTGGGGTCAGGTTGGCTTCAGGACAGCGATAGGCTGTCTGGGGATAGTCTGATGGAGGACTGGGTCAGGCTGGCTCCGGACAGTCTGATGGAGGACTGGGTCAGGCTGCCTCGGGATAGTCTGATGGAGGACTGGGACAGGCTGGCTCGGGATAGTCTGATGGAGGACTGGGTCAGGCTGCCTCGGGATAGTCTGATGGAGGACTGGGACAGGCTGGCTCGGGATAGTCTGATGGAGGACTGGGTCAGGCTGCCTCGGGATAGTCTGATGGAGGACTGGGACAGGCTGGCTCGGGATAGTCTGATGGAGGACTGGGACAGGCTGGCTCGGGATAGTCTGATGGAGGACTGGGACAGGCTGGCTCGGGATAGTCTGATGGAGGACTGGGACAGGCTGACTCGGGATAGTCTGGTGGAGGACTGGGACAGGCCGGCTCGGGATCGGTGCAGGCTGCCTGGTGTTCGTAAGGGGTTATGCCGTGACCAATGGCTTTCAGAGTTATTTATCAGCCGAGGTCGACTTCGGAGCAGCTGGGGGCCATCTTGGTGCGTGGGGCCCCTGCTGGGGTGGCGGCACTCAATATTATATTCGGGCCACCTCCGCGGTTGCGACGGGGTCCGCGTCCGCCGAGTTTTCAGCATTCTCGTAGAGAGGCTTCCTATTCTGAACGGATTCGCTTTTTCGCAAAACTACCACGGCACCTTCGATGTACATAAATGAAATGTGTCGAACTTAACTTGCTGTGCTTCCTGTTGTCTGGGCACTAGAACATAGACCGCGGATTCGGAAGTGCGACCATTGTGGCGGGCTGCGCCCGGAAGCACTGAGCACGCCCCGTATTGCGCCCATTGCAAGCCCCATGCAACGCATACAACTAAGACGCGCGATGAGTATCTTTCTTATTGTGGACGTTCTTCAGCCTTGTCGGGTGAAGGTGTCGGGTGGTGTCGGGTGGTGGGTGTCATGGACCACGCAACAATGTTATCAAGGAACGTATCGCGTTACGAAAGATGTGCATTTGTTGCCGTGAACGTTCTACTGGCTTCTCTTTGCCCTGGCAGACAATCGTGCAGTTTGGCCGAATGATTGAGAACAATTTGAGAGCGTTTTTCCTTTGTCGGGGACACGATATGCAACTTCATCGATAACCGGCTATTGCAGCAACGATTTAGTTTCAATGCCAGTACGGCCGGTACCTATGTAACTTCCCACTCATTACGTAATGGTGATGTACTGAAACATGGATCTGCGAAACATATTGTCGATCACTTGCGTGACACGTCACCCACCGCCGTCCAGAACAATTGTTGAAAAATGTTTCAACACAACTTCTAAAATCATCTCCAGTTCTAGAAAGTTCCAAACGACTCTCTTGGTTCAATCCGTCCACGTAACCCGGCAAGCTCTTCTACGCCATGCATATCAATTTTAAGCCGACGGCTACCTACTCTGGATGTGCCGCGCAGGAAGCCATCCCAACTGTCGCAGAGGGACATGCTGGGCTGTGAGAGGGGCTGCCCGTCGCGCCAGGCCGACTGACCTGTCCCAGCGCCGATGTCCAGCACCACCTTGTCCTTGAAGACCTCGGCACTGCCTAGGATAGCGCTACGGTAGGCTTCGGTACGAGGCTTGTCGCACACCATCAGGCGGTGCACCTGCGGTCAGAGACACCGCATGTTATCCACAGAACGCCCGCGGAAACGAGGCCCATGCACAGCCAATCAGCGGAAACGTGCTTCAGGTGTGGCCAATCGGGGAAAATGTGCTCCAGGCGAGTCCAATACGGGGAAGCGGTCTGAAGGCGACGGCAGAACGGGACACGTGAGGAGCGTCCTGCTCACTTGCAGCTGTTCATATCTTGTTGGTGGAGCTTAATGACGGGCTCCACCTGGGGACAGCCTGCCACAAAAACTAACGATTATCTAGCTATTTATGAAGCTCCTGCCCCGACACGTGGCTGCCGGGTCACATCTGTTCGCAACACGTCTTGCTAGTGATACCCCATCCCGACAGCTCATCATCACCAGGGACCGAACAGCCTCATACCAAATAACCTCCCCGCCCAGCCCTCGCAGCGAGACGCAGCCAACAATTCGGTTTACAAACGCTATTTTCCGGATCAAAGGCGGCGCGGTTTTCAAAGCCCCAGCCGCACCGGGCGAAAAACAAAGCGCCTCGGTCGAAGCCACGCCGCTTCGACGACGCCATCCGCCTGAACAAGCTCAGACAGCGCCCCGCCAGCCCTGCACGGGCCGCTGAAATTATGGCTGGCGACATGTTTGGTCCGCATATATTACGGCGCGCCACGGCACGGACTGTTTACGAGACCATTCCGAGCACGACATCAAAAACGGCCCACTTGGCGGCTGGAGGTCTGCGGCCGGCGCAAAAAGGCGGCGCCGCATGTAGGCGCACGGTTATCCGTGGCGGGTGACGCCCTCATCCAAACGTCGCCGTGCGGATTATCTAGGACCTTAAGCGGAGGACAGCCATTGGTGCTAAGGCTCTGCGAATGACAAAATGCGGGGAAATGCGCAGAAAGGCGTATTTTAACCGGTGCCGTACGCGAGGCTGAGCAGCCTGGCACGGGCAAATCTAAAGACCACGTGTCAAAAGGACCTGACAATTCAACAATCGTGATACAACCCCACACCCCTATATACCGCGCCAATATTTGTATAAAAACACATCTGAAGATGCAGTAGGTGGCATTTCGACCGGTGGCAACAACCTCATCGCCCGTATTGTGATGCGAATTCGCTCTCGGGGTTCTTTGACGCGATGATCTTAGCTACCCAGTTTTCACGTCCATCAGAATACCGGTCACTGAGAGCCTTCATTATTTCTGAAATATTACACAGCATGATCTCCTCGGTGGCCTATAGCTTATCCGAAACAGTCGGAACGGCAGGAAGTGATGCGCCACTGAACTTGCACAGAACGAGTGCGTCATATGAAGTTTCCGGTTTTACGTTTATCTCGTTTTAAGCTCGTGACCTTATGCACCTTACGTTCCCTTTATGGCGTCAGTAAAATGCGACACATTTTCTGCTCACAATCACCCACCGGAAGTCAGTTTCTCCAACTAAAAATTCGTAGATTTTTGGCGTAAATCGTAGACCGCACCTGACCGCAGTAGATAGATTTTGATGAGAAGCAAATCACGCCGAAGTTCTTCGCAGCAATGTCGATTTGGAAGGCCCGCGGCCTTTCAAATCAACACGCTAGCCTTAACCAATTGAGGAGCATGTAACTACATGTCAGCTGTATAATCATCTGACGTTCTGAGTCTAGCTGAGCCATCGTTCAGTTCCACCGCAGCGGCGGTCATTGGGTCACCGAATTAAATGGCCGCCGCCGCGTGGCCGCCAGAGCCGAGGCAAACCGTTTAAAATGGCACAAAGACGACGCCAAAGACAAATCCTGTCGTGGAAAATGTCTCAAAGCCGAAGACGAGGTCAATGCAAGGAAATTGCGGATTCGCAAAGCTGCCCCGGACTAGGCCTTGGCGTGGGAGCTGCCCGGACTAGGCCTTGGCGTGGGAGCTGCCCCGGACTGGGCCTCGGAGTGGGAACTGCCCCGGACTAGGCCTTGGCGTGGGAGCTGCCCGGACTGGCCCTTGCGCGTGGAGCTGGACGGGCTTGAGGGGAGCTACCCGATGGGCCTTGGCCGAGGAGCTGGCCCACTGGCTTGGGGTTGGAGCTGTCGGACTGGGAGGCGTGGAGCTGCCGGACTGGGCTGGGTAGGAGCTGCCCCGGACTGGGCCATGGTGTGGCTCGTGCCTGATGGCCCATGGAGTGGGAGGCCTTGGCGTGGCTAGGCGCTGCCCCGGACTGAGCCTTGGCGTGGAGGCTGGTCCGGACTGGGCCGCGGCGCCAGATCTCACCGCCCCGTTCGGCAGAGGAGCCAGCAGTCGCGGCTTCTCGGAGCTGCCAGCGCGCAGGCGGGCTCGGTCAGTGCCAGAGGGCGGCGCCCGGAAAGGTCAGCTCCCGGCGCCGGAGGCGGCGCTGTCCGCTGCCACCGAGCGCCTTGTCAGTGCAACGCCACCTGCTATTCTCAGGCTACCCGGGGCCCGAGGTCTGTGCGAGGTCAGCCGCAACAGCCGCAACAGCCGCGAGCCGCCGGCACCGGCTCGGAGAAGCCGCCGAGCGCGCGCTGGGTGATCACCGACCAACAGACCTGCGGAGGGCGAGGCAGGGTCGAGGCGGCGGGGGGAGGGGTCGGAAACGTCAGCCCCCATCCTCCGGCGGGCAGCCCGCCCCCGGCGGATCTGGTCGAGCACTCCATCAGGCGCGCCCCACTCACGTCTGCCGCCGGCGGCCGGGGGCGGCGGCGGCGGCGTCGGCGGCAGTTCGGCGCCGCACCCGCCAGTTCTCGCAACTTGCGCGGCTCGACTACTAACGCATGAAGGGCTCCACACTGCGAGCGTACTCGGCGAACCCCCTCCCCCTGGGAAGGCGAGGCTGGTGCGTGAGTGGCCGCAGGGCTTGCAATGCCAGCCACCCGCCCGCCATAAGTCTCCAGTGGCGGCGAGAAATCACGACAGACATCTCAGTAATATCGCCCTATCTCACGTAGCAACTGCCTAATTTTCAACTTGAAAGGCCGTCCGTGGTTACCACGCGCACTCTTTAGAAAGCTGCTACAACGTGCCGGTATTCGCCCAAAACCCACGACGCAAGAATGGAGCGTGTAAACGACGTCCACTCTCGACAGCCCGGCCAGCGGATCCATGGACTACGGATCCAGCGGACCCAAAACCCACGACGCAAGAATGGAGCGTGTAAACGACGTCCACTCTCGACAGTCCGGCCAGCGGATCCACGGTGGACTCGTGCTGCGACGATGGAGCCCTTATGGCTGTGTTGGGTTGGTGGACCAACACTAAGCCCTTGGCCAGTCGATGGCACTCCGGTGGACCTGTGTTCGACCGGTAAACCCCGTCAGACCTGTGACCGATCAGTAGACCCCGTCGGATCTGTGACCGATCGGTGGACCGCGTCAGACCTGTGACCAATCGGTGGATCCCGGTGGACCTGTGGCAGATCGGTGGACCACGGTATGTGGTCGATCGGCGGACCCCGGCGGACCTGTGGCCGACCGGTGGAGCCCGTCTGACCTGTGACCGATCGGTAGACCCCGGTGTACATGTGGTCGATCGATGGATCCTGTCAGACCTGTGACAGATCGGTGGACCCCGTCTGACCCGTGGCCGATCGGTGGACCCCGGTGTACATGTGGTCGATCGGTGGACCCCGTCTGACCTGTGGCAGATCGGAGGACCCCGGCGGACCCGATCTCGGCCCGGGACACCGGCCCTCGGCGGCTGATTGACCGATGAGCCTGTCCGGCCGGCCAGCACCGCTCGGCGCGATTCACTCAGCCGGCGGCCCCGTCCGACAGACCAGCGGCGCCCCTGGGACCGGCGCGGCTCGGCCGAACGGGAGGGGAGCGGCGTGCGGCACCACTCGACCGAGCGTGCTCAGCCAGGCCTCTTTGGAGCGCACGCATGACAGTTTATGGTCGGAAAGGCTGAACTACGCGCGGCGCTGCCGGCAGCTGGTAAGCTGCTACAGTATGGCGTGGGCGGGGCTGGCCGGCAGTTGGTAAGCTGCTACCGTGTGGCGTGAGCGGGGCTGGCCGGCAGCTGGTAGGCTGATCCAGTGTGGTGTGAACGGGGCTGGCTGGCAGCTGGTAAGCTGCTACCGTGTGGCGTGAGCGGGGCTGGCCGGCAGCTGGTAAGCTGCTACCGTGTGGCGTGAGCGGGGCTGGCCGGCAGCTGGTAAGCTGCTACCGTGTGGCGTGAGCGGGGCTGGCCGGCAGCTGGTAAGCTGCTCTTGTGTAGCGTGAGCGGGGCTGGCCGGCAGCTGGTAAGCTGCTACCGTGTGGCGTGAGCGGGGCTGGCCGGCAGCTGGTAAGCTGAGCTGCTACGTGTGGCGTGAGCGGGGCTGGCCGGCAGCTGGTAAGCTGCTCTTGTGTAGCGTGAGCGGGGCTGGCCGGCAGCTGGTAAGCTGCTACCGTGTGGCGTGAGCGGGGCTGGCCGGCAGCTGGTAAGCTGCTCCAGTGTGATGTGAACGGGGCTGGCCGGCAGCTGGTAAGCTGCTAGTGTGGCGTGAGCGGGGCTGGCCGGCAGCTGATAAGCTGCTCTAGTGTGGCGTGGGCGGGGCTGGCCGGCAGCTAGTAAGCTGCTACAGTGTGGCGTGAGCGGGGCTGGCCAGCCGACTGAAACAGTCATGTGGCTTTAACCACCGAAGATGACGTCGTCCATCTTTCCCACTCCAGTACTCTGGGCTGTGGACAGATGGGCGACGTTAGTTACTGATCAGCAGATCAGTGACCATATCAATGAGATCGCCGTTATGATTGTAACACCTCATGCCTACCATATCTGCTTGCGTGAAAAATTAAGAACACATAAAAGACATCCTACGTTTGTATTTCTTCAATCAAGCGGATCTCGGGCGTAATGGCCATCATTTTGCAACTTATGGCAACACGCCCATCATTAGGGAAACTCCCCATAACTGAACGCCGACGCCAAGGTGCGCACGGTCGGGGTTCAGTCCGCGGACACCCACGACCAGGCACCCGAAACTCAGTCCACATCGCCACTCGCCACGTCACTTCCGCCAGCCGGCAAGAGCGCGGCAGCTGGAGGCTGCGATCGGCTGTCGGTGAGTGGCCCGGCCCGATCCGGCCCGCTCCGACCGGGCTCGTCCGGCGCGCACCACCGGCGCCGGCTCACGCCGCCGCGCGGGCCGGATCGCGCCGTCGGCCGGCCGCCCCCCGCCCGGCGTCGGGCGGCGGGTAAGCGGTGGCCAATCCGAAAGCGGTGTGAAATATGGCCGCCGCTGACGTTGCAAAATTTGGAAATTGGACTTGAAACGGTCCCTGCTGACGCAGAATTGCCTCTCCAGCTGGCTGATGCTATGGTGTCGGTGTAGGATATGACGACGGATGGGTACTTCCAACTCTTAACGTTTGAGGACGCTAAAAGCTATGATTCAAGTACAAGTGGTTAAATGTCTAAAAGGTATGATTCAAGCACAAGTGGTTAACTGTTCTCGTGGCACTTGTTGCACAGCATAATTAAGGGCGCGTAGGAGGAAATCAACTGGGCGCGGTACATGCCCCTTAAATATCGTCACGTACTTCTATCCCCAGTTCCCAACGTGGAATGGACGTTGATGAACATTTCTGTTCAAAAGACGACTGTTTTAAACAGACAACTGAAAACAAATACCTCGGCTTCGGTATTTGAAGCCCCTCCCCGTCGTTCAAGCGGTTTCGCCAGCGTTCACGCACGCTGTCAGAGAATCCGGCGCTTCCCTGTCAGGAACAGCTGCGGCACCAAGCTGCCCAGCAAAACCAGAGGTCTGCGATGGCAAATCTAGCCCGTCCGACAGACTAATAAATCAGTCACGACGTTACACCAATAGCGGAGAAAAGCCAACTGCCGACGGCAACGAATCCAGCGCCGCTACCGCCGAATCACCGAACAGTGTGATCTCCTTTCCTCCCGCCCTCCTCATACCCCCGGCACGTAATCACCCCGGACCCGCAGTCGGCCGTGCGCCGGCCGTGCGCCGGCCGGTGTCCGCCGGCCAGCCTGTGACCCCGCTTACGCTGACAGACGGCGGCGCGGGCCGCGCAAACATAGGCGGCGGCGAACGCAGCGCACGGGCGGCCGGACCTCCCGGCGGGTGGCGACGCTCGCTTGGTCAATGTATTGATTGCTCTCAATGACATCGGGCCGGCCACCAATGAAACCGACCATATATGCTAATGGCAGCTATTGGTGCTGATACGCGCCTCGGGCGGTGTGCACGGGTCTGAATGTTTCGAGCCTTTAGTGCCCGCCACGGCTCGTTGGCATGAAACGCCTAGCTGCCAGCGGGCCGGCGGGAACGTCGCCTCGCCGGCGCGCCAGCGCCCGTCACGCAGTTCTGCGGTGATGTGGCGCGCGGCCCGCTTACCTCGAAGTTCTCGTAACTGCTGAAGTACCCATCGCCGTCTGGCACGTCTCCCCCGCTGTCCGCCAGAGGCGCTGCCTCCGCGCCGGCTGGTGTTAGGGTTCCGCTATCCGCCGTCAGGGGCGCTGTGGTCGCTTTCTTATGATCCATCTTTGCTGACTTGGCAACTGCAGGGATACAGATGATGGCAATGATTTGGGCTTTAGTGCATGGCGACTACTCTGCAGGGGTATAGTTGAGCTGATGTTGCAATACCAGGATGTTGCCAATGGGGTTGAGAAAGGGGTCATGCCCAATGTTGCAGTGCATGTCTCCCATGGGTAGCAACAAGCAACAACTCTGTTGGCTCAGTGATCTTGCACCTGATGTATCAGTTATAACCTTTAGCAACACCTGTTTGGTCCAGTCCATACCAGTAATTGCATACCTGGCACCATACCAGAATGTTGGCCACTTGTAAGATTTTGGGGGCTGTAGGAGAAGTTGTCCTCAAGATTGGATGATCTTGACATTTTTGTTCCAAGCTTATCAAGAGGATAAGTAAAGCATAACACATTAAAAGCAATCATTTTGCAATGATTGAGTTACAATTAACCATCTAATGATGGCTAAAGGTCATTAGAAGTTGGGAGCTCAATTCATATACCAAGTTATTATTTCAGAATGTTGTGTATATCTAAACAAAAGAACCATATATGCACAATTAACTTCTCTCAGTGGGCTGTACAAGTGTGAAAACCACTGGAGTTAAAGGGGTGCTCTGAGGCACTCCGATGATCTCCTGGAAGCATCTTTGTGGCTGCTTGGTTTTTGAATAGGTAGATGGTGGCATAAGCCCAACCTCCACTCAAAGCTTTGTATTTTATGTATTGAATGCTGATGTGCAACAAAACTGCCTATGCAGTTCTGGTACTTCATGAGAAATACCACACACAAAAGTGTGTGGCAGGCAGAAGGCAGCACATGACAAATCTGCATCAAAAGCAGTAGGGGTGGTGCAGCTGTCATGCAGCTGGTGTATGCCAGAGTCTACAACCACTGGTCTCTTGCATTAACTACCTAAGTTGGATTTAAACAGGATCAGTTGGTCATTTAAATGTCAAAAACATACCTTCAATGGTTCATTATTTCTACTTTACAATATATGGAACAAACCTGACAATCAAAACCTCAGCCTCATGAGGAACTGCAGGAGAAAAGCAGAAGAAAAGTGCCAAAATCACATCAAAAGTTGGGGGAACATAGCCAGACGTGCAGGGTGTGCCCCTGCATGCAGCATAGGCGTTTTTAATTTGAAAGAAATTGGGATTAGCACCCTCCACCATATCTGGTAGGCACAACCCATACTGGGAAAGGTTTATCACAACGCATTTGTTATCACTGGTACAAAATGTGAAAGACCTAACCAGATAGATATATGGCAGTGTAACAGTTACGGGCGTGGTGGATAAAATACCATCCATCCAGACATTATGAGTGGCACCCCTGCGCTTACACTCGGAATAGCATCAACCCTGTTACCCCAAGATATCGCGTGTTGTCCAGACTTGAATGATTTTAAACACCAGCCGCGTCAGTACGCGTTGCATACTGGAACGGATGCGCTGTTTTGAGAGCGAAGTGTGGTAGGTCACACGCAGCAAATGTGCTACATGGGATCTCCTTTATATCGTCGAGTCAATTCAGTTCCAGGTAAAAGCAAGGTAGGTTATGAAAAATTGTGATTGCTAGAAATACGTGACCATAAAGGAATCGTCACTGCCATTAACATTATCATAACGACTGTCCTGTTGCCGTGCTCTCAAAGCATGACATTCAAGGTCGCTTATTTTTGTAGCTTGCATTTTACCTGAACTGCTCTAAAGCTCAAAATTCCAGTCCAACTTGCCCATGAAGCGCTCAATTTGTACACGCAGATAGTTTTAGTTCAAGAAATAGCTTTGCGTTATGCTTCATGCTTGAAATCTAACTATTGCGATATATCTTCTGACGTCATTTTTCATGCTTGGAACTCAGGTGCCTTTATATGCGTTCTTACATGCAGCCTTAGCCCATACCGTAAACAGTACGCCAATGCGCGCGAGTGGTTGGTGTGTGGTAAGGTCGTCTTTATCGTTTACTTTGGCTTTGAGATGCCTTGAGCTTGATTGTAAGACACGAATGCGATTAAGGGCGGTGTGTTGGCTGCAGAATGTACTTGCCTGATTTAGTTGATGGTCCTGATGGCTTTTAGTCTGAAGCATTGTATTATCTTATGTTTGGGTATCATAGCACATGAGCATGTCTTGTTCTAAACTGGTGAGTTGTGGACCGTGTCCAGATACGCGACCATGCTGGAAATGACAAGACTGATGTTTAAATTCTTGGATCAATTAAGATCTAACTTGGATTAATGGCCTTGATTAGCTTGTCAGGCTTCTTACTATGGTTTAGCCAATGCCTGCTATAATCTCGCATGCATTTCCCTGGCTCTCAAAAATGTGCAAGGACTAGCCATATATGATTTTCATGTGTGGGAGCAAGACATCACAAGCTTTAATACCTTAAATGATATCCCTAAAACAAGGGAAGTGCTCCTAGTTGGTATGGTTGAACTTATGAAGATTTTGCAAATTATTTCAAGTCCATGATTGGGATTTAATTTGGCACCACTATTTCATTCAGATCACTCTAACTTTCATGAAATAAAGTGACATCAAAAGCATTATGTCTTCAGTACAAATAAATAGGCACAACTAATTTCTGGTCAGAAACAAATAAACTAATCTGGTAGTTTAAAGGACATCTGTCTGAGGGCATGTTCAGGGAGGGCTCATTGTTTCCAAATACCCTAATCCCATAAGTTCTTGATAATTTGGCATCATAATGCAGCCTCCATGTCTGTTCATTTCAGAAAGCATTGGTGCTCTTCCAGCTAGCTGATAACATTGAGCTGCCTGGTCACAGGAGATATTGCATCAGAAGCATCTACTGATATAGGGTTGTCCAAACCATCTTGAGACTGAGCACTGTCCCTCCCAATCTTCTTGTGTACCGGCCCAGGTGCACTTTGATGTGCCAAAGATTTATTGATCAATTTGAAGGCCATAGTCCATTTAGAGCACACTCCGGCTGTTTCCTGAGAATATTTAGCCCTCCTAGCATCTGGATGTATAGAGGATCATGGGATTCTGCAATGTGTTCCATTGCCCTTCTGACATCCACATTGGATGAGGGATGCTCCCACCTACTGGCAGCTCATTACTGTCAGGTTTGTGAACTGAGGGTGGTGCCATTTCCAGTCAAGTTTCAGCTTCTTGTCATGATTATCCCAGCTTTGGATTTGATTGCTATGATATTAATTTCACAGTTGATGATTTTGTAGAAAAAAACAGGATATGGTGCAAGATCCATGCACAAGTCTTCAAGGGTTTGCATAACAATGTGGTTAGAACATTATGGCCTGATTTTGATTCCATGCCTTCTGCACATGCCTTGCACAAGTGTGGACAGTAACATACAGGACAGGTTCAAAAATTTGTAATATCTCCTAGGAAGTTTGAGCCTCAAGGTGAGAGATTGTAATTACTTTATGATTGTAACTGATGGCAAAACTTGTTGACAGGCTGGAGGACAGCAGTGTTGCTGCCCATTATGAAAAGCAAGTGAGTATTATCTATGTACAGCCCATGGTGTCTTATTGTTTTTGGTCAATCTGGCTTAAGGTGTTATAGCACATTTAATGGTATTTTGATTATCAAAGTTATCACATCTTGTGAAGCAGTTTTGTGTTGATATTTTTTTAATTAGCTGTGATATACAAGTCTCATATATAGATAAATCTGGCTGCATAATGTGAAGGTTTATTGTGCCCATGGACAGCATCCTCAATAAACATTATCAAGGTGTCTGCAGCACCAGAGGCCATTCAGTGTGCTCAGTTCAGTGGGCTGTGATAATTAGCAAGACACAAGTATGTGCATCTTGAACACCCATGCTGAATCCAACCCTTCACAGATCTTAAGATGACTGTGACAATGTGCTAAAGCATGTTGGTGCCTGTTGCCATGCTAGAATGCAGTGACTGACATAGTGGCTTGTGCTAACACATTCTGAGGTCAGGCTGTGCACTAGCAATGTTGAATTGTGTTATGGTATGTAGTGCATAGTTTCCAAGATATTGCACTGTCCTTCCTTGATGTATAATGTCATCTGTGTCTCCATAGCTGAATGGCCTCAAAGAGTGTAATCCACCCAGGGGAGGAATCTGAGTCTTCTGCTGATGAGGCATACAGTGACGACGAGTTTGTGACCTCGGCGGACCTCGAAGAAATAGGTGGGTTTAATGGCAGAGTCATCACCGAGTCACCACTGATACAGGGAAGTCTGGATGGCCGGGTGGCAGGAAATATTGAACGTTGTGTGAATAAGGATTCTGAGAAGCACAACTTTTGTTTGCTTTTGTGTTTTAGTGATGTTTAGGCACGAGCTTGCCATTGTCTGGAAGGCAGACATTGCCATTTGCTCATTCTGGGTTTTCTTAACATTGGGGAGCAATCCTGGAAGGGGCCATGGATTCTTGGGGGCGCGTAAGGTTTTCGTTTTTTTTTTCCTTGGGGTGGAGTGTCGCGTAGGACGTCAGAAGGCAATCTTGTTCGTAGAAATGTGTTAGTTGCCGGTGTTGTGTGCTGTTTTTTCGGGGAGGAGAGCACTTTTGATCTTACATGGCGGGCGGCAGAAATGTATCCCGATTATCAGAAAAATGGGATGATGAGTGAAACGAAAAATGGCATGGGAGACGAGTTACAACTGACAGTGAACCATGTAAAGACCACGATCTAACACCCAGTTTTCGCTGAACGTATTATTAAGTGTCCAAACGGAAAACTCATCGGAACGATCCGCGCATTTGGCGTTGAAATAAAATGTCAAAGCGCAGATCTGAGATAAATCGACACCAGGGGTCGCTGTTACTGGCAGTGTGAGGTCCCTTATCCTTCAGCTGTTAGTTGTAAGAGAGACGACGCGAGATTTTGCAGGGCGTAGTTGTTATTTCAGTCCAGCGGTTTGTATCTACCACGGGGAATATGCCCCCCCCCCCCCCCCCCAACATGGATTGAGAGCCAATCGACGGCGTTATATCTGGAAATTGTGCCCACTAACGCCAAACATGAACATCTCGATCATGATATTTACCTTGGCCTTGATCGCCGCATGGCTAACGGAATGACAGGATTTGAATGACGTCATTATGCCGTCATGAATGTCTAGGCGATTTTGTAATGCTGTTCCCGGGATAGTCTCCCCATGTTAATGGGCGCTGTAGCTCAGAAACTAGAGGTGTTTAGATCTTAAGGGCAGAGCTTTGGAATGTACCGAATGATCTTCAAGCTGGCTGTTATCAGTACCCCATAGAAATATGGAACAATGCCTTAAACAACGGTGGCACCATTGGCCAGTGGGCAGTTATGTCCGCGCAGGGGACAATGTTTCATAAGCATTCCTGTTATTTAAGACTGTGATGTTGAAGCCCCTTGTAACAATGGCATGATGTGTCGGTGTATTATGTTCCTCGAACCGGCGGATAATCGAGGCTCCTTGCTTTGCCGACACCCAGAGCCACCGGGCTGGTACTCTACGTAAGCCTGGCTAGAGCGGCCCCTTTCCTTCAGTGGTGTTGATGACTGCACCGCTGTACTGCAGACACGTCCGTGGCTGCTGTGCAGGGGCAGGCGTCCGTGCAGCAGCAGCGGCGGCGGCGACAGCCGGCAGCCAGGCCTGACGACACCCAGCACTCGGTTCTGCACCACAAGCTGCGTGAGTCCAGTGCCGTTCAGGAGGCTGAGGTGCTGGCGACTGTACTAGGGCGTGGGAAGACTATAAGACTGGGGGAATCCGTCTTAAGCCATCATAAAGTTCTGGAGCCCGTGTGGTCCTTGGCCTCCCCGAGAATGGCCCCAAAACCAGACACCCTGGCTACGCCATTGCCTACAAGCAATTTGGATCGAGCGTTTTTGAAACTGCGGCATGGTCCGCAGTTGAAAAGGTCGAGGACTGTAACTTGTTCAGTGCTTTAGCGAAGAGCATTATTCACATAAATAAGACAGTAGTATAATCCTTATTCCAGGGGAAAAACAGGAGAATGGAGGTATAGTTAGGTTGATTTTTCGGCAACATGTCTTTATCGAAACAATAGCAGAAGTGAATTCACTTTATTTACTTCTGCTATTGTTGCGATAAAGGCATGTTGCCGAAATATTAACCTAACTATATCTCCACTCTGCTGGTTTTTCCGAGGAATAAGGTTAATACTACTGTCTTATCTAGATCGAAGACTGCGGGAAGTGGTCTTTTAATATTAGACGCCACCGTGCAGTAATTTATGTGGCGATAGGTTTGACACCGACAGCAATGCACACAGCCATCAAATGATCTAATGACGTCACACTTGCCCCGAAACGCTACCATTGGTAGAAACGTAGGACAGGTCCGCCAGCCGTGAAATCCTTTTTTTTGTTGGTACGCTGCGGCTGGATCACAAGCTCGGCGAACCCTCACAATGTCGTTTTTCCCCGTCCTTGTTGCTTCTGGAGTGTCGGGGTCACTAGCTGCACATAGCATGTGCCGGCCTCTCAACCTGCAAGAACACGCTGTGTATCTGTCAGGGGTAGTCAGAGTTCATTAGCTACCCATAGCTCAACGGGCGGAGACTCGGCTAATGCAAAGACGTGCTATATGCTACTATTGGTATGGATGCAGTTATGGATGCGTTTGTGCATGAAAGCCGTAGGATCCTTTGCAAATGTTTTTGCTCCCAAAAATGTTCTTGTGGGTTATTTTTAAGGTTATTTACTGTTGTAACTCTTTGTTACTCCCAAAGGTGGTCGGAATTATTATATTTTGAAAATGTAGACCCAGTTTTCATTATATATATATATATATATATATATATATATATATATATATATATATATACATATAATTTTGACCAGCGCGTTATTGCCGATGTCTGCTTTGGTTCTGGTCACCCGATATCACGATGTATGCGGTCGGTGGTCATGGAGGGAATGAAACGTTAAGATCGAGGACCTGTTGATCCCTATATTGTTTTGTATTTCAATCGTCATTTGAACGCCTATATTTGTTGTCTTCCGGTAAGGTGCGCCAACATTCTGCGATCCGGTCCTGATGGATGCTTGGGGAAAGGGACGGGTTGTGAGCAAGGCGAGGTAGATTGGAGGTGTAGATGCCCCGCCAGCTTCCGGAACGTTGAGCATGACTTGGCACAGCTTTATATGAATTAAGATCACAATCCCCTTCCCACACATGAACTGCACGCAATGCCTTCGTTTCTCACGCCCTTCCGTATATCTCTGGGGATATGGGCATTGGCCAATAGCAGAGGAATCGATGGCATCTTTAACATTTACGCGCGTTGGCCATCCGTTTCGAATGAAGCACGTAGCCACGGAAAGAAAAACTCACAGGTGAAGGTTTCTCAGGAAATCTGTTACTTGGGCAGCACATGTTCAATGAAGACGACATTGTACGAAACGGAATTTAAGGGGATTAAGCCCCGCGAGAGTGTTGCCGAAGTACCTACAGTGTTGAGTTGGAAGTCAAAGTTGAAGTTGAAAGAGAAGTATTGCGTCATGCTTATGCATGGGATGTGCCATTTGTTTTGCTCTCCGTTCATGTTCTCGGAGCACGTGGTGCTGCATGCAGCTTGCACCGACCATGGGGCCGATGCATCAGATGACCACTGGGTACCAGACTGGCTGTGCGTTACTGTGACCGGGTCAAAACCTTGGTTGGCGATTTAAGACCGATCGTCAGTGGATGTGTATACATCGCAGAATGTCGAATTTATCCAACTGTTCTGTCTGAAGGGAGAATAGACTTCGTTGTGGCTACCTCAGTAATGACCTCGGTAATAAGGGGCGTGGCTCTTTGATATCACATTGCAACAAATAGGAAACGCAGAAATATGTAGGAAGGACGGAGGTGGGCATTCTGTGGGCACCTGCCGCTCACATAATGTCTGTGCTGTAACCGTGCCAATGCTTGTGCTGTAACCGTGCCAGTGTCTGTGCTGTAACTGTGCGTGTCATACTGCGGTTCTTCTGACCCGCAGTATCTCGAATCCCGTGCTCACTGCCCCACTCCATTGCAGGTGAAGCCAACGTTAAATTGCGCAACGCCATCAAGCTTCAGATTGTCACGCCGTACCAACGGTCGACCCGGAATGTACGGAACCTGACGTACTCCCTGTCCAAGATCCAGGTGAGTGGACAGTCGTCACACTGGTCGGCTGACCCGGCGCTCGGTCAGGGCGGACGTCCTGGATCTGGCGACGTCCAGATCCAGCTGAGTGGACAGTCGTCACACTGGTCGGCTGACCCGGAGCCCGGTCAGGGCGGACGTCCTGGATCTGGCGACGTCCACTGTGTGACGTTCACCCGGAGCCGAGGGGGTTCCCTCGGTTGACGGTGGCAGCGTGTTGAAGGCGACTGGATATACTCCTTCGCGCAAATTTAATCATTTGCTTTTCCAGCCCGCTGATCAGGTAATTCGTAAGGCGTTCTAGGGCGTGCTTTTACGCACGGTATTGACTATCTTTTTGCTTGCTGGCGTTTCTGTCAATGACTGAAAATCACAGCCGGCTTTGCTGACCCGAGAATCACAGAAAGCATCGGAGCTGCGTCTTGCCGACCCATGTCGCTTGCGATGCGCCGTCACACTGCCTGAACGCGATCTCCACTGCCCGCCCTCTGATGCTTCTGTTAGCACCCAGATGTGAGATATGCGCTCGTTATGCGTTGGACGTTCTTACGAGGAGAAGGCGTGCTAGATTACCCCAGGGACAGAAAACAAGGAGGAAAAACAGCCTTTGGTGTTCAGAGCCCATTGTGACTGCAGTAAAGGCTGTGGTGCGCAATGTCATATGGTTTGTCATCAATACTATGCGAATAACGTGCACTTTTTTACTTCATAATGATTTAACTAGCATTCGTCACCGGCAATGGCGTGTAAGTTTCCATCGTCACTGTCTGTAGCTCTGTGCGCTCGTTTTACCTGAGTGGGTGGAAAGGTATTAATTTAGAATGATCCTCGCCAGGCCTCTATGTCAGAAGCTTGTCTGCACCTGCAGCAAATCCGCGACGATTTGAAGGCAACCGAAGATAAAACATTCGACATCGTGTCCAGCGATTATCTTGTAGACGTCAAGATCTAGGAAGTGGTGATTCACTTGCTCCTTATGGTCAGCACTGGAGCCGGAAACATATCTGACTAACTAACCTCCATCTTACACACAAATATCGCGATGGGTTTGATAAACGATGAACTGGAAGAGGTCAGAAAGATGTGTCAAAACGTGGTACTTGACAGTAAGTTAATAACCTGCGTGCCGGCCATGGTTCGCATCGAGATCCGCAAAACCGACTTCAAGCAGCTGGCAGCGTGCTTCCAGTTTCCATCCGAATACCCTCGCCAGATCATCCTGCTGGAGCTCAAGAGCAAGACGCTGTCAGACAAGCTGCTGGAAGGCCTCGTCAAGATCTGTGAGGCCGAGGCTAAGAAGCTGCTGGGTAAGCCGCAGATCCTGCCGCTAGCCAAGTTCGTCAGCCGCTTCCTGGACGAGAACCCGCTGAGCTGCTGCTCTGCTGAGCTGTCGCGCGTGCGCCGCGAGGCCCTCGCCGACGGCGACGAGCTCAAGCTGAAGCAGAAGACGTCGACCGTGTCGCTGTCGCTGCGCTGCCAGCAGTACCACTACCGGGCGCACCTGGTGGTGCCGGCCGACTACCCGCGCGAGCGCGTCGCCGTCGAGGAGCGCAGCTGTAACCTGCCCGGCCCGCTGCGCCGCTGGCTGACCGGCCAGGCTGGGGAGCTGGCGCGCTGCTGCGTCGAGCCGCCGCTGCGGCCGCCGCGCAACGCGCCGCCCTTCGAGCCACGTCCCTCGCTCGAGCCCGTGGTGCGCTTCTTGGCTACCGACTTTCGCCGCTTTCCTACCGACGTCTGTCAGCACTGCAAGAAGGTGAGCGTCGGCCGCAACTGGAGAGCCAGTGGGTTTCCTGTGGGCGTGTGTTGGGTTGACGAGAGGGATGTCCGTGGGCCACAGGTTATCAGCTCATGTCGAGCGTTGCGCGATCGGTCAGGTCCGTGGCCCTATGGACGTACTCATGGTAAACAATCTCGGCGGGTGCCTGAGTCATCTAGTTAAGAAATAACGTTCTTTTTGTGCCGAAATTTGTTTCAAATTTTCAGCATCTCCTGGTGCCGACAGGTGGCACTGCCCGCGGACCCGGCCGATGTAGTCGAGGACGGCGGCGCAGACCTCCACGTGGAGCGTGTCTACTGCGGCCACCTTTACCACTTCGGCTGCCTCGTGCAGTACATGAAGACGCCGCCATTCGACGGCGGCAAGAAGTGCGAGTTCTGTGGCAAGCGCATCTTCCACGACAAGTACAAGGTGTCGCCGCAGCTGGCCGAAGCGCGCTGGGCGCAGGAGCAGGCGCGAGAACGCGAGCTGGGCGAGGTCATTGACTTTCTGTCGTGACGTGGCGTCGCCTGGCCGCTGTCTCGACGCGACTATCCGGCCCGTGTTCGGTAGGACTGTGCGTCCGTTGGCACAGTATGAGGTCCTCGCACGTTACCTATCGCTGCAGCGTTATTTGCTGTAAGCTGAGCGCTCCGGATTGTGACGCTGACTTTTCGTGGCCGCATCGTGTTTGAACGCTTTGGCAGGGACTTCTGGGATCGTAGCGTTGGGACGCGATGAAACCGGTGCTTGGAGAACGCTTTTACCTGATTGGTTCAATAAATATCCTAACCAACCGATTGACATTAGAGGTGACATTAGAAATCTGGGGACGTCATCCCATTTATTCTCGCTCACGTCAATATCCATAGTTTGGCCTGGCCGAAACGCCACGGGTACAACAGTGATCACCTGCAAGGCGAACGCTGCCTCTCTGCAGCCGCTTGCACACCTGACGTCGAGCGTCCCAGAACCCACATGCGATACCACACGTACTGCTGACTGCCACGCACTGTCGGCACGCGTCCACTCAAACTCACAGCGGCTACGCGACGCGATATGCGCGACTACGCCGGCTCAGCCTGCTGCTGCTGCTGCTGCTCCTGTTGCTGCCGTCGGAAAATCTCCTGCAGCCGCTCGGTGGCCGACTGTTCCCGCTGCGGGGCCCGGTACGCCTCCTGAAACAGGCGGTACAAAGGTCAGGGCACGGTGTGCGCCCCGCTCGCGTGCTCTGCGTCCGGCGGGTGGGGCGCACCAGCACGCCGGGTTTGCAACGTCTCCCCAGAACGTCCAAGTCAGGCCACGTGAAGATCACGTGAAGTGATCCCTGAAGGTGGAGGATCACAACGTGAGGTGTCACAACGAAGTAGTGGGGAAAACAACTGCGGGCCGGAATGGCGCTGCGGGCGGCGTTACCGGCCCAGTAATACTTGTACTGGTGATAGCCCGTTTGAAGATTAACGCAGTTGTGTGAACGGCACGGCCGCGACCTAAACAAGATTCAGCATGGATGCTGTTGTCACGCCATTTGTGCTAAAATTTCCCAGACCTAAACACAGTCAAGGGCAAGAAATAACGTAGCAGCCCCACTTTTCAGTCTCCACCCACGCTTCGCTGTTTGTACTGCAGGCCTCGGCGGATCACTCACGCTGGGGAAGGTCTCAACGTTGGCCTGGGGCGGCACGTTGGTCCAGGGCGTCCAGACGCCCTGTATGGACGGGTGGTCGGTGTGCTGCAGCTTCCTGAGCCGCGCCACCGGCTGTCCGCTGCTGCCGCGGGCCACCTCCAGCCACTGCGCCACCTCGTGCTCCGACATGCACTTGATGCCCAGGATCTCCGTTTCGCCGTTCACTGCCGGATTGCGAGTGGTCAGCTGTGGGCCATACCAGCCTGGAGATCGGTCGCTCGAAGCAAGAAACTGGACACTTCCCCCTGATAAGCGTGACAAGCTCCAAACAAGAATATGTGGTGGGTTTATGGAAGCATTAAGACAAAGCACTAGTTTAGTACCAGGGATGAAATAATTGTTTGGATTATTGTACTTGTCTGGTGTGTTCGCAGCTACGCGACTTTTCGGCCAGTTATCTCTGCGGCCCTCATCAGGTGTTATTGAGTCCTGAGAACTGGATGATGTTTTACTTCCAGCCATGCATGTGTCACAACTCGAATTATCCCCTTATAATTGTTGTGACTCCAACTAGGCTCTTCTTATTGTGAGTGCAGTGCCCTACCAACTGAGCTAAATGGGAAGGATAAACTTTCACTGTTCGAACTTGGTGTCCTTCAACCACTCGACATCCAGTAATTTTCCCACAGAATTGTCGGCCATATTGAACTGACATCCATGCTTGGCTTACTGGTTCGCCAATGTTGTATGTTCCGCCACCTTGATCTTTCTAGTTATCTGGTGTGCTCTGTCAGTGATTATTATCTCATCCCATGTTGGTTACAAAGTTTTGACACTGAAAGAGTCCTGTCTGGTAAGCTTAGTTGGTGAAGCACTTGACTCACAATCAGAAGTCACCGGTTCAAATCACGGTAATTTCAAGGAGAAAATTTGGGCTTTTGGGGTGCACCATCTATGATAGCCTTTTCAGGACTCAATAACACCTTGCAAAGGTTGGACAGTTCACTGACCAAAATATTGTGTAGATACTAGTACAACATATGAGGGTGTTAGCCAGAACAAACATTTCATCTAAGGGAAATATGTAGCATTGTTATTAAGCCCATCATATTTAAATAGATGGTGATATATAAAATATATGACTCTGGTTCCATCCAAGCACATTCCAGTTGACATCATCCAGCCTCACAATATTCCAGTTTGATGTGTGGTGCACGATGTCGACGTGGTTTCAAGTATACCACAATCCCCGGATTCTTCTTTGCAAAATCAATCACATGATTCTCTATGAAGTCTCTGAAACCAGTAGAAAGAATGCATCATCATTACATGGAATTAATAACATTAAGCATATTCAATGATAACACCTACATGTCAACATTGTTCCAGTGAGTGGCAAGACCTTTGCCAGGCAACATCACTATGGGTACATCTCATCTTGCATGCATTCATTCACATGGTGAGGTGTAAATCAAGCAAATAGTTGGTCCATGGGCAAAGCATGCTGTGCCAGGTCAGTGTGGCATACCTGTTGAAATTAGTTACTTTAATTGGAAAACATAAAGATAAATATACATCATTGACTTGTAGGTAATAACACCACATATTTTCAGTGATCATAACATTGATAATGCTCATCTGACATTGGCCTTATGGTCTCAGTCATTTGGTGAATAGCAGATCATTAAAATGACATATCCCAGATCTATATTTGATGGCACATAACTACTTGGGTCATATGGTGCCCATCCACACCAAGCCTCTCATTCTTTCAAACCTCCCATCTCTCAAACTGTCAAAAGCTTCTCAAATTTTCCCTGAAACCTCCTACTTTTCTCAGTTTCATTTATTATCATATCATGGGTCATCCAGAATTATGATGCATACAATAAATATGTACTTTGCTGATGTGAGGATATATATATATATATATATATATATATATATATATGTGTGTGTGTGTGTGTGTGTGTGTGTGTGTGTGTGTGTGTGTGTGTGATGTGTGTGCAATATCAAAACAATCATATGTTTAGCTGAATGCATAATATATTCATAAAACATGGTGTTTCATACATAGATCACATTCATAGCCTGTTTCAGCATAATGTAACATGAGATATACATACCTTGCACCTTTACTGTCACTGTGCTCCTTGCAAAACTTGACTGTTATTCTTTGCAATTGACAAACATATCTTCCCAGCCCATTCTGTATTGGTGCTTTGACAAATGCTGACTTTAGGAACAGATGACTGTGGGACATGTTTCTCCTTCCAGAAATGCTAGTTAACTGAAGAAGTAAATAATGAGTCACATGCGATTAAAATGAGAGATAACAGCACCTGCATATGTTGCAAAAAATGCATTCTGAACCTCCAAGATTAGAACCTGATCACAAGGAATATGGTACACAGAGCAACTTAGCAGGCCCTACAGGAAAGAGCTGCTTAAAAGCAATGAATCAGGTTCAATACTTTCTTCCTTGTGTCCCTATAATCTACCAAACTCTGGAAGTGCCATGCGCCTGTCCGAATACACGCAGAAACTCAACCCCTTGGGAGATACCACCCCCGTTCCTAACAACTCGCGCCCCCCTGTTTGGGACCCGGGCGCTCTTCATGCGTTTCAAGCAAATTGTTTCGGATGTCTCTAATGCGCAATTTATGTACACAAAGCCCAAGCAAGCAATTAATATTTTAATATTTAAGGGAAAAATACACCTTTAAACAAGCAGTTTCTATACAAAAATGCGAATATGTAAATAATGAAGGATGGAAACTTCATCAAGAAAGGGATACAAAGCTGTGTGGATGTAATGTATTTTATCTCATTTAATTCAGTGCCTTTTTGCACGATAACTCAATATTCTACGCAACATATCCTCAATAATATTTGTGTCTGTCTTAGCCTTCATCTTATTCGGAAAGTAGCTTTAAGAATTATGCCTATTTTCAAGCTTAAGTTAAAATTGGGATTTTTGGTGGCGCTGCATTCGCGGTCCTTTCCGGTCGAAGATGGGGGTGAGTGTGTTGTGGGGCGGCCGGAGTCCGCTATATTGTCACTTAAGACCGATATAGACCGAATATCAAAGTAGGCTTAAATGCATCGTTGGGCCGAATTGATGAACTGGCTTTGAATCTATGTACGTCCTGCGCTGTGTCAGGACTAATGCGTACTTGCGCGTGTTTCGAGTGTTTTCAACGTTGACAATATACCGAGAAATGTATCGCTGGCTTTAACATTCGTAAAATTGTGGCATGCTGTACCGTAAATTTAAATTTAGCTCTGGGCTGAAGGGTGACAAGCGAGTGCCAATAGTGTTTTGGTATTGAAGCAATGTAGGACTAGTCTGATGTGATAAATGGGAGTGTGCTAGAATAGCTGTTTTTCGTATTTTAAGGTTGTTTTTTTAATAAGACCTTTCTGCTTACATCTTGTGGTGTGGGCAAGGGTCAACCTGTTTGCTTCTGATGGCATGGCTAGGCTCAGTTTACCTAAATTTATTAAAGGTCTAGGGTCATGGATCACGTGGTGGTTTTTTATTGGCACAATTCAACCATAATCCACTGTTTCATGTGATGAGGGATGTGTATGCTGAGTGTGGTGCTTTTGTGGTCAAGTCTTATTTTTGGCCAGTTTGGACCCAAGAAACAAGAATGAATTTTATGATGGACTCTGATGTTCCTTAGTAGTACTCACCATTTAAGCCAAACCTGCCTGCTTTTGTAATTTTTTGCTTTCTCTGAAATAAGTGGGGTGATGTTACTGCTTTGTTCAACATGCTTGATAAAATGTGTATTTTTCTGCTTGGAATTTGCACAATTTGCCTTATGCCTGATGTGTTATGTTTCATGGTTATCAGCATTTTATGGAGTTTTAACATCTTACATGAAGCTTTGTTAGTTCCTGCAACAGGTTTTGGATGTTATAAAATGCACTAGGAATTGGTAGCTTTTTTAATGGCTTTCATATTGAACAGCATTTTAAAATATGTGATGTCTTCATACTTGTTTGCAGATGCAGCATGTAAAGCACTGCTCATTTGTAAGATACCAATCCCTGATAGATAGCATTCAAAATTTTACAAGAAGTGTTCTGTCATCTTTTATGTTATGTACCATTCTTTCACTACATCATTCAGCATAGTCAGTTATGAAGCATGCTAGATTAACAGTGGCAGCTAGTCAAGAATGAACATTCCAAGGTGTTTGAGATGTGGATGATTGTGGTGCCTAGAATGTAGATGTGCTGACAGGGTGTCCTGGGTTGTTGAAATACATGATTGGTGTTGAGTTGGCCATTATATCAGACATGTCTGGTATGCATGCTAAACATGTGCTGACTTGATTTTTGTTGCAGGACAAGGCCAAGAACCCCATGCGGGATCTCCGCATCCTGAAGTTATGTCTCAATATCTGCGTTGGTGAATCTGGTGACAAGTAAGCTATTAGAGTTGAAAATGTCGCCATGCACTAGTGACATAATATACTAGCCCTGGTGACATTTTGGGAAGGCTTGTCATGCATGTTATATTGGTACATATTTCACATATATTTGCAAGTTGTTATTGGCCTTCATTGTTTTCATTAACTATCTTGAATATAATGGGAAGGCACACTGGCAAAATTGATAGCACATTTCGCATCCTCCCAAATGAATGCTCCAGGTTAAATTTGTGGCTAGGCCTGGAGCTCTAAGTGGTAACAGCCCCTGTCACCCATGTCTTCACCTCCCTTTCATGGAGTCCTAGAATTGCATCAGCCATTCTGCTGCTGAGGGACCATGGACTAAGTTGGATTTTATCCATGAATTCCCTGCTACTGGTATCCAAGGTGCTAATCATGCAGACATGCATCCTCCTTGGCACCTCACAAGAGGTATGTGATGTTGTGAGTTCTACTCCCATCTTATCTGGATGAATGCCAGTGGAGATGCATGTCAAGTTGCTTCTCTAGCCAGAACTCTAGCATCAACAGCATCCACAATATGTGCATTGTATGACTTGGGTGTGATCTTGGTGGTGCTAATATTGAATATGTGAAGGGCTGCAAGGTCCATCATTGTTATGAAGTTGTGTAGAGCTGCCAAAGAAAATGTGTGGTAGTTCTGAATTGCCTGTTTGACATCAATTTTGTTTATCATGCAGGTTAAATCTTTGCAAACATGGTACGTGAGTTCTGTTGTCTGTGCTGCAAACCTGGAGTTCCACAATATTAGTGGTTGCAACAAAGGCTCCTGCAAACAGGAGTGCTTTTATCTTATTTCTACTGCAGAACATTCTGCACAACGTTGGTGCTATGCTATGTGACAACACTTATTGCAACACCTTTATCCTTCATTACCTCCACTGCAAAATATTATGCAGCCATTGCTTATGCACATTACACACACATTACACGAGCATTGCTCCAATGTAAAGATGTGTATGCAACATTAGTGTTACAGCAAACACATGTGGACAAGTGTGCTGTAGATGTGATGACAAGTATATGTTTTTGCATTAAATGTTTGTGTGTTGTACTTTGTTGTGTATGGGTTTTGCAGTGGATGTAATGATATGTTGAAGTCTGAAGTATAGATTTTGTGGTGTACCACTGATGTTGAGTTGTTGCAGTAAAAGTAATGTGTGTAAGTGGAGTTAAGTTCTTGTGGCAGATTAATGTTTAGCTTATAATGTAGCATTTACATTTTAAGTAGTTTTGCAGTAGTGCTTATCATGTGACACCACAAACCTGAGTGTGTATTCTGTGTAGGAATAAATGATCACAGCAGTTGAAGCCTAAACTGTGACTAAATAGCCATTTTGTTTGTGCTACAGACATGGTGTGTGGTGTGTGCATTCTGTTATCTATACTGTGAGGAGTGCAGGTTGTTGATGGTCAGTCATGCTTGTCAGATCGGCATAAGTGAGAGCCCGACAAGATGGCACAGTGGTATTGTTCCATGTTTGGTCTGATTATTGGATGTGTGTGTGGATATATTAGTAAATTTCACCTCATGGCAGACTTGTTCTGGACAGTGTCTATATTTCAGGAAGCTGAAAGTGCTCTGTTTCAGGGTGACCCATGCTGCCAAGGTGCTGGAGAAGCCGACAGGCCAGTATTTCAGGAGGCTGACAGTGCTCTGTTTTCAGGCTGACCCGTGCTGCCAAGGTGCTGGAGCAGCTGACGGGCCAGTCGCCCGTGTTCTCGAAGGCCCGCTACACCGTGCGCAGCTTCGGCATCCGGCGTAATGAGAAGATCGCCGTCCACTGCACGGTGCGCGGCCCCAAGGCCGAGGAGATCCTCGAGTGCGGCCTCAAGGTAAGTGTGTCTGCAGTCAGGTGGGGCAGGCAGCAGGCCAGTCAAGCCCATCCCACTGGTGCTGTGCTGTGCTGGCTCTTTGCTGGCTGGAAACTGGCTTTACTAGGATCTGCTGGCTATGGAACTAATGGGAATGGCCTTTTTAATCAGTTGTGATTCGCGTCGTTTTTCTGCTCGGAAAAGATAGCTTAAATACCATAAGGGCATGTGTTCTCGAACTTTGTGGCGCCGCCCTAGCTCTGTATGCACAGCCAGGTTCTGTTCGTAGTCAGCTGTTTGCAAATAACTTGCTTTGTACAGGTGTGCGAGTACGAACTGAGGAAGGGCAATTTCTCTGACACCGGCAACTTCGGTTTCGGTATCAAGGAGCATATCGATCTGGGTATCAAGTACGACCCCAGCATCGGCATCTACGGCCTGGACTTCTACGTCGTGCTTGGACGGCCAGGTGCGTAGCAGGGCATGATGTGCATCGTCCATGTGCCTTCAGCAGCAACTGTCCTGTGGCTGTTGGGTGTGTTGACGGAGGAGACGGCGCGAGCATTACTACCGTTGGCATTTCCAAACCCCATCCCTGTGCGGCGCCCGGTCACCCGGATCTGCAAGGGGCTCTTGACCTTCAAAATCACGGAATTTATGTAATGAATTTGTACGTAACGTGTATATGTGTTACGTTAACAAGAACAAAATATGCAAGGCCACATCAGCAAAGAGAGTTGAAGGCATTTCCCATTAACACGTCTGCAAGCTGTCTCAGTTAACGTATGCTGGCGTCCGTCCCGACAGCTCATTTGGTGTTTAAGCACCTACCTCCCAAGTCACCCACGGGTGGAGGTTTGATTCGGTTCAGACGCTCGCTGTGTCCCTGATCGGGGTGGCGCGCGGCTGACGGCGGCGGTTGCGTGAAAGGGCAGGACGGATCTTGCCAAGTATTGCGGTGCGTTACAATTCAGCCGCTGGGTTATGCCTTTGATATGGAGTTGAATTATGCCAGGTCATAGTCTTTAACAGAAATTACAAACAAAATACATTTTTAAGTTGTATCGGCTCATCGCGGTTTTAGCGGCGCGTAGTCTTCCTCCATTCCGTTCGTGATACGAGGTAAAGCCCACCAAGGTGTCATAAACTTGGCCCTGTTAAAATTCCCCAGTTTCTAGAGCAGCGCAACTTATTTTGTTTGGCTGAAGGCTGCACGAGTTGGTTCAGTCAATCAGATCTTCGAACGCATTATGACCAAAATCCGACAGGTGGCTGTCAGTTTCCTAATTTGACGTTTGAATCGAGTGAAACAGGAGTTCAATGGAGCCTGCTACTTCGGAGGTGCGCACATTCATCCGGTCTGCGGACTTTTCAGGTCGTAAAACGTGGATAGAATTCAAGATAATGGCATGATTGCTGTGTAAATAATGGCATTGCTGGTATTCAGTCGGTTACCGTCTGAACATCGGATGTCTGCACATGAACGCAGGGGGGACGTGTCCCTGATCAGTTTGTCAATTATATGAGGTGATGTGCGTAAAGGTACACTGTTAGCTCGTGCGTCCGCTGTGATGCGGATTTGTGGGGATGGACATGTGTGAAGATGGGATTTCTCTCTGCGATGCCGGACATTCCATGATAGGTTTCGCAGAACTAACGGTGCTTTTGTAGGCCGCGATGCGGATCAGTATGGGATACGTGGACTTATTATCAGCCTACTGCTCACCATTCCTGTTATCCGCCTTGAAAGGCAGTTGTGAGGGGAATACGGGCATAGTAATGCTGCAGTGAGCAGCATTGCCACTTTCATTGATTTGAAGCAGCGGCGTAATGTGACCTATGGTGCATCCGATTTCTCCCGAAACCGCGCTAAACGAACGCATGCCGCGCGTGTTGCATTTTATTTGAATTCCTGCAATGGCATGCAGGATTCAGAACTGAACGCGTCCCGGTTTGTTCAAGGTCGTCGGTGATGACGGAGGGGCTTGGTGAGCGGATGTCCTTGGTGACCGCGCACGTGACTGTG